AGTTCTAAAAGTCTTAATAAACATTTTGTATCCACTTTGAGTTGAACACATTCAAAAAGAATCATTCGCCCCCCCCCCCCTCCCCCACCCAACCCCCCATAGACATTATTCGCAACTTTCACGGCCTACAGGGGGCGCACTGGTGCCTATCCTGGCTTCGCCGTTTATTCGTAAAACTTTGATTCTTTGAATCATTGGATTAAGTACGGTTCATTCATCTGCATAAGTTCGTTTATATATATATATAATTAAGTGTTCATCACACACTTCACAAAATGTCCTGGAAACCATTCTGTGTATAAATCGGCAACTTCATCCGTAAAATCAAGAAAAATCAAGCATTTTCTTCATAAGATACATTTTTACAATTCTAATATTAATTACCTTCTCAGCAGTCCCGATCGAGTTTCCGATACAGTTGGCAACACGTGTAAATTCGAATGCATTCATACCCTATGAAGCAAAATTAGTTCGCTTCATTAAGCATACTTTCTGCACCGATGAGGCTTATTCGTGACGAATTTGTAGGAATTGTGTTCTCTAAACACATAACGGTACATCTGTACCGTCGCATTACGTTAGCAACTATGTCGGCCTCAACACTTTGACCTATTAACCGATTAATTAATCGCTTAGAGAACACCGATTGATCGATCAACATTTTAATCGACGCAAAGCGCTATATAGTGATCACGATCAAAAAATTAAGATCACCTTTCTTCTTTTTTTTTTTTTCTTAATCCACCCAACTGACGTCACTGTCAAGGAAAAAGTCATTAGGGCGTTGCCTCACGAAAGCATTTTAAGGTTACGAAATCTCTTTTTTTAGGCATTTCGCTTTTACACAGACGAAGGGCCGAGGCGAACAGGTGTTTTTTTCTCTAAGTTCCCTGAAGCTCCGTGTCGTCAGTCAAGCTGCGCTATCAACGATATCAAATGCATCGCTTTCTTCTCACTGCCAAGGGCTATAATTCTACCATTCGTTCGCAACCTATCGACGATCGTAGATGTATCAAACGATTAGGCGTACGGCACTTAAACTCCTGCTTTCATTTCTCGCGTTTCAAAACGAAGAACGTGTGATATCTTGTTTAAATAAAGAAACAAAAAATCGTTCGGGATCCCTAGACCTCTCTTTTCACTACTATATAAATTGGAATGTTGAAACCATGTCATGGTCGACGCAAAGCCCTAGAGTATAGTCATCACGTACAGATAATTAAGATCGCCTTTCATCTAATTTTTTTTAATCCACCCACTTGACGTCATATTCTAGGAAAACGTCATAAAGGCATTGCCTCACGGAACCACTTTAATCTTACGAAATCTCTTTTTTAGGCATTTCGTCTTTAAAGAGACGAAGGGCTCAGGCGAATAGGTGTATTTCTCTCTAAGTTCCCGGGAGCTCGTTTTTCAAGCTGCACTATCAACGATATCAAATCCATCGCTCTCTTCTTCCTGCAGAGGGCTATAATTCTAACGTTCGTTCGCAACTTACCGACGGTCGTAGATGTATCGAAGATTATGCGTGCAGAACAGAAGCTCCTGCTTTTATGTCTTGCGTTTCAAAAGAAAGAACGCGTGAAATCTTGTTTAAATGAAGAAACAAAAAATTATTCGGGATCCGAAGGTCTCTCTTTTCACTAGTATATAAATGAGAATGTCGAAACCATGTCACGGTCGACACCATCTGATCAGTCGCATCTGAACTCTCTCTCAATGTCATCGCAAGTTCCAAGGCGAAAAACTTAAGTTGAACCACTGTAAATGTTAAAGAAACACGTAGAACTACACCCCGAATAAATTCGCGAGCAGTTTCAGTCGGTGCCGTGAATCTGGTGCATACCGCAGAAAAAAACGTAGCTCTTCGTTTCTCATTTCTACGGCGGAGGCAGTAGGGTTCTACGCGAAGCAATAGATTATTTAGCAGCTGCTGCGTCGATCGTCCGGGTTTGCCAGTGTTTGAGCTATTACGATGAGCATTGATTGGACGCGGGGGTGGCGACAGCGTTCGGCGTGAAGAGATTGGCTCAGTTGGTACCGAAAACGAGTGACGCGTCACATTGGGACCCAATCCTACGCTCTCCACCCCAAGAACTGGTGGCCGCCAATGTTGCCAGATGAAGTTTTGAAAATGACTGATTGACGCACTGGAATTAGGAATTGATGGTAATAATACAGTTCTTTTCTTTTTTTTTTCAGATATATTCTCTAGCATGTTTTCATCCTACACGGAGCAAAAGTTTGTCTACTTCTTGCGCGGAACGCCGAGTTTTGATTGGCTCTGATTGGAAGGATATTTGGTAGATCCCAAGACAGCTAGCATCGAGGTCTACCCACTATCCTTCCAAGCAGAGCCAATCAGAGCGCGGCGTTCTGACGACACAGCAACCCCTCCGCAAGAAGAAGACGAAATCGCGTTCCGCATAGAATCAATACAGGAAACTATATGGAGAAAAGTGAGGGAAAGAAGGATATGGAGAGCGTGCGATGACGTCACTACGCTCTTAATCTCGTTCCACTTAGGTTGCAGTTAGTAACTAGACCTTTTTTGCAAAAAAAGGTTTCGATTTACTTGGGGAGACTGTGTTCTGTATACCTCTTAGTTTATGCAGAGCAGTGTTTCAAATAAATTGTGAAGGTGGCGTAAAAAGAACAAAGAAAAAACATTGTCCCACATATTGACATTTGGAAAGCTGTTTCACATACACTAACAAGAATGTTATGCGAAACGGTGTTTCATGTATTGAGATATGTCTGGTATGTTTTCGTAACTGTTCCAGATACTTCAAGCCATCAAGCCAGAAATCTGCAAGAAAAATACTTCTGGCTACACGAAATTTGCTGGCTGCTATGGTATTCGCTCTCTGTTAGAGCAGATCGCAAGATATCTAAAGGTGAAAGCACATCACAATATTAAAGCGACTAGAGCCCTAATTTCTACCGGCTAATGTTTTAGGACAAATCTAAAATGACACAATCACAAACTATTATCGCATTCACAAAACGGAACGACCGCTACCGCCGCAACTGTACGCGCGCGGCCGCGCTGCATACTGCAGCAGGTTCCTCACCCTGTAAAAACACGCGATGCCCGCTTTCAAAATTCTCGAACCGCTTGAACCATACCACGGGAACTCTAAGCAAAGCAAAGGGCCTTCATTGGAACTATTTTCTTAGGCGGAGGAAGAACCTGGTCATCAGGTTCCCTTTTCGTTTTCTTTTTGTATGTGTTTCGCTGCTCTTGCCGACGCTTCCTGGACGCTGGCCGCCTCCTATGGTATGTATTTGTTCGTGGTTTAGTTGTCTCCTTTTTGCTCGGTCTGCGCGGATTTTTCACTGAAAGATTCTAACTGGAAAGCGACAAATGTAAAAAAGAACAAGAAAATACACTTGGTCCCGGTTTTAACTGGAACAGATTGGCGCGAAAGTGCAGCAGGCTAAGTGGAACGGCCGCCTCATCTGCATAACACCTACGGGTTCCACATTACAGGAACAAAAATAAAGCGAACATAACTGGCGTTCCATATATATTACTCTATCCACACAAAGTATTGACTTGTTACAGAACGTTAATTTAACTGGAACCTATGTAGAACCAGATTAAGAGTGTAGCGTCGGGCTCGGATTGGAAGGATATATACCTTTTTTTTTTTTTTTTTCTTTAAGCGTGCAGCCATCTTGAACGTCGTCACTAATGGTATGCGTTAAAAAATGTGCAATTGTCACACATTCTTGTTTTGAATTACCTACATTTTCTCACATATTCCAGGTTGAAATGTTGTTATTTTTTAGTCCCGCATACCAGATACGGAACCCGAGTGACTGAGAACGAGAGGAAACGAAAAACGTCTGTAGTTTTTCTTCATTCAGTGTGAAGAATAGCGTCGCCTGCTTCTCGCGCTGGGCTTGGCTTTCGAACGCCGAACGCCAGACCTCTCGCAAAGAGCAGACGACGCTCTCGTTCACTCTGATTGGAGAAAGACTGTGTAGAGGCAAAAAGCAGCCAGCCTTCGCGTCTACCCACTATTCTTCCAATCAGAGCTCGGCATTCTGTGACGTCATTGCGTTCTCGTCCCATCCTCTCCTTTTGTTTCTTTCTTTAAGTCATATCATTACCAATAATATTACGACGGTAGGACCTGAGGCTGGAATAGGAAACAAACAAGAACCAGACAATGAAAGCGACGGGGGAAAAAAGTTACCGACAGCGTCTAAATTTAACCGTCTCTTTTAATTTTTTTTTTTTTTTTGCCATTTCCATTGTGTGGTTTCTTTCCGTCTTTCACCTCAAGTCTGAGCACTAACCATCATGACTATACCTACACCAGTCCGCCTGTAGTTTGACTGTTCCTTTGTTACCATCGACATATTTGTATTTATTTCAATAAACAAAGAGCGCCCCACAATGTGGCCACAAGTTGAGTAAAGTTTAAAACAATATCCCAGAAATATATAGAGTGTGTCAAAGGGATTATAAAAAATGCAAACGAACATAAGACAGCTCCGGAATGGGTTTCAATAAAACTAGAAATAATCTCATTTCGTACCTTTTGAGATCAACACGCATGTAAAAATACATAATAATGATTCTACAGTGGTTAACACAAACTTATGCTACAAACTACTTAAAGTCAATAGGAAATTTTGTTGAATTTTACGTGTTAGTATTGACCGAGAAACGACAATAATTAAAAGAGAAGGCTGGCTAGACCAAAAGTCGCCAATCTGATCGACGGGTCGGCGCCTTTATTGCGCAGTATTTCTGCCATCGCTGTATGACCGTGAACAGGAATGGCACCTCTGCAAACACCGGTCTTAGGAGGTGTCCGAGGTGCCGCCTTCAGCGAATGGTAGCCACTGCGGCGCCACCGTCGCAGGAGCCAGACAATAAGCCCGTCGGTGGCCAACCCGGTTTGGAGCGAGCCGAAGAAAGAGTGTGTGTGCGAGGAGGAAACGAAACGTATAAAAGATTGGTTCTCGTCGTGGTCGCCAACATCACCCCTTGATCTTTCTCACGCCTACAACTGTCGAGATTCGCTTCGAGATGACTTCCTCTCTCGCTCTGCTCCTTCTGCTCGGCGGCGTGGCAGTCTGCACCGCCACGGCCGTCCTCGGCGGTTACAGCGAGAAGACGGACCACCATAGCAACCCCGAGTACCTAGAACTGGCTCACTACGCTACGTCCACTTGGTCCTCAGAGCATAGCAGGCCCGGCCAGACGAACTTCGACACCGTGGTGGAAGTGCTTAAAGTCGAGACGCAGGTAAGCTTTTCTGTACCCTTTAGTCAACTGTGACCTGAGAGCTTAATAAACGCGGGTCATGGCGAGCTTCGAGAATCTTATATTGTCGCTCAATGTCGGGCCGATTATGATGGTCTAATGGCCCAAACTTGCAGGGTTCAAGAACCTATATCCGCTACGGCTATAGCGGTGACAAATTCTGAGGAAAAACAATCTGCGTTACGTTGTGCTGCGTTTCGCGCGTCCCGCGTTTTGCTTAGAAGCAAAGTCTCTAAATGAAGCATTTCCTTCTAACTTAAGACTGTCACGGGGCTTATTTACGAGTTTTTCCTTCCAGACATTGATAAAATAGGAGCGATCAAAAATAATGATCGGTTCCAAAATAGTGCATGAATGTACTGGAGACTGTACCAGACATCTGTGCCATAAATTAAGTTGCTTTCTCAGTGTCATCCGCTCCGTCTCTTTCAGCTGTACACTATGCCGAGAGCAAGTCGTCTGCTTCTTGTAGACATCAATGCTAGATGCCTTAAATTCTACCTACTATGTTCTTTTTTTTTCTATCAGCCAATAAGAACTCGACGTGCTGACATCGCAGCCCCTGTGCAAGAAGCAGACGAACTTGCGCATCCCCACACGTAAAATCTATAACTCCAACCTCCCACTGTTTTCCCCTCCAAAGCTACAAACATGCACCCAAAATCATAGTTCAATCGGTATTTTTTTGCCTTCTGCGTGAAGCCTTTAAAAACGGTTATGCAAAGCCTTTTCATTTTTAGTGGCCCAAATAAGATAAAAACTCTTCGGGTAAGCTCAAAGGGATTGTAGGGTAAAGGGAGCTTATGCTACGAATGCACGACCCTCCAGCAATCGCCCACTTCGCGCCGCCATCTCTGTCGACTGCAGGCTGTGAAGCATGTCTACGAGCATCCGCAGGAGCACTATCTCTCTCGCAGAATATCAGGCGTGGCTCACACGCATCCACAGCCAAGTGACTCCAAATATTTCGCGTTGGTGATAAGGGTGTTAAGGGTGATAAGGGCGTTGGTGATAGGGGGGTGACGTTTAGCCATAGCTGAGGCTTCGTTCCTTCGGGATCCCGGGGCACCAGAGAATCCCAACGATGGTTTTAAGCCCCAGTCGCACTTTTCACGCATCTTAGAAAAGACATGGTGCGCGATGGAGACATGACATAATCATAGGCGGACACGCCTCAATGCATGTTGAAGCATGTTCGTTTTATATACATGTATGCTTCGAATATGTATGCAGACAGTCTTTGCAAGAAACACGTCTCAGGTAGTGTCTCCAGAACGGCTTTTGTATGACGTATTGGCAGCGCGACTGCGACTTTCAGGCATCGTTCAAAACTAACATGCGCGAATCACTCTGAAGATAAACTATAGTGCATAACTTTTGTTCTGCTATCAGCGTCATGCTCGGTAACTGTATGACACACCCCTGCCGAATGTTTCAGACGGTTGCTGGGACCAACTACAGACTGACGCTCAAGGTGGCAGAGTCCACCTGCCCGCTCACGTCCGCGTACAACAAGGACACCTGTTCTGCCAATGCAGAGGCGGTGAGTTTTGTCACTTTGTCAGAGCAGTCGGGGTCGGCTGAGCGGCAATGACAGAAAAGGAATCAATATAATATAGCTGGCTGAAATTGTGTTCGGATTATACAGTACTAGTAAATTACGGTAATTAAACCATTGTAACTTCGTTACTTGGTTGTAATTTGCGCAACTACATCTCGAATGCAATTTAGTATCCGCTAGTGAGGATAGTTACTTTTATATTTAACCATCAGTTGTAATTCATTCATTTGTTTTTACGACCGAATTCTAATTTAATATTTTCTTTAAAGCAATCCTAAGTTAACTATTTCAGTCGGTGATTTCAAAGACATCTGCTATACTCCATTTAACCTCACGTCGGAGCGCAGCGGATGCTAAGAGCCATCGGAGACAATCCAAGGCCTTTTGAGTGTCACGTGACCTTGAACCAAGGTCTTCCGAGTGTCACGTGACCTTGAACCAAGGTCTTTCGAGTGTCACGTGACAGGCTACGTCCACAAAGGGGGATCGGCTAGAATAGCTCGTTATTAACGTCAGCTTCGTCCGGACGTAAGGTGAAATGGTGTATAGTTTAGGCGTGATTTTGAAACACCGCAGTTCATTCCTGTGCAGTTCACAAAAAAACTGAGTCTGGCAACGAAAAAAAAAATGCGCCTGAGCTTCGATCATGCACATACAGCCGAGTGACGCAAGATGCAATGTGCGCAGGTACAATCAGCGAGTCAAACGTCCTTCTAATTGTTCCTGTGCACATATGTGCACATAGACTTTTTTTTTTTTTATCTAATCGTTTCTTGAACTTTGTCGTTTCTGAGGTTCCTTCTACGGTTCGTCGTCATTGGCTGCCTCCGAGTTCTGCTAAAAAAAGAGCCCACGTACATTTTTATAGCGTGCACATTGACCTGAATAGCTGAAGTACAACGTTGACTTTATAAAAATTTCTTCCGTTGTTCTGTTGCCTGCTTGTCCTCAAAATTTCGGTTTGTTTCGTGTGTCTTGCAGCTGCAGAGGACTTGCACGACCGTCGTTACCGAACCCCTGCAGGGAGACAAGTTCGTCAGCTCCTTCGAGTGCACGGCTTAAACTCCCAGCTGCCACCTTTCAGCCCTCTACTGTGATGACTACCCTGTAATGACTGGATACATATGAATACAAATATATCGTACCTTTATATATTATACCACGGTCTTCAATTATTCCTCATTGATTCTTGTTTTTCCTTTTGTAATCTGACACCTACTGCATTATTTCATTCTGCAAGTTGACCTTGTCTTCCTTTTGTTTTGCAAAGTTTAATCGCATTCTTTTTTTTTCAGCTTTGATGATTATTATTGAACAAGTATCGAAGCATTGAACGGGTAGAAGTTCAAAGAAATCTTTCTCCCTCCAAAAAATTCCGAGGACACCTACGCACTTCTTATCAGTTGTGAATGCGAAAGAATTAATGTCCAATTGAACGCCGCTGAGTCCTCCTCGCTGGTGACTGCTGCGCCGCTGGGTGAGGCAGCGGCGGGAGCGTGAAGCTCGGCGCGGTGCGGAGCTGAAATCAGCTTTCCTCTCATCATCATCATCGCCCAAGCTGCGGGTACCGGTTGACAATGTTAGACCTAAAAGCATAACTTTAGGCCTAACAAGCGCATACCTGCATCCACGCCCCCCCCCCCCCCCCCCCCCCCCCCCTTTTACCGCTGCGCCGCCAGCAGTTCAGCCGGCTCCTGTAACGATGACGCCGTTGCTATGGAGCCACATGACACCTCGCAGCCAATTGGAATTAAGGTGCCGTTTATGACTGCTACAGACAACGATAACGCCGGCTTTACTCAGACAACGCCGGCTTCGCCCCATGGGACAGTTAAAGGGATATTAAACTGAAATTTTGATTTTGAAAAATAAGCAGAAGCGTTCAACGGCACGCTACGAACTACGAAACATCACCCATACATCGATATCTCGAGCGGATGGCTGTACTTTTTGAAAAGAAGGGCGCGATCAGGCGAGGTCTTTGACGTCCTTGTCCCCATGTAAAATTTGAGAATGCGGCGTCGCTTCGCTCCTGCACGCTTCGGTTCACCACCTCGGCGGGACGTAGCAAGAAGGAGAGGGAATGAGAATCGTGACGTGATTGGCTCGTCGTCGTCGTCAGCCATGTTCAATCGCGCAGTTCCCCAAAAATACGGCGATCCGTTAGAAATATCGCTGTGTGAGTGATGCTTTTGTGTTGCACGTCCCGCCTGTCCGTCCAGCCTTGTTTTGTAAGCTCGAAATTTCGGTTCAGTATCCCTTTAATACATTCGCATTAAAAGTTTCAGTATTTTTTGCCCACAATATAAATAAAAGACCTTTTGAACAAGCCGTAGACGCGCGTGTTCTGTGTTGCTCGATGAAATGGGTCGTAAGGTGCTAGTGCGCAACGCATTTAAAAGGATAACAGGCAGTTAAGCGTCAAGGCCCGTTCACACACTTGCGTTTAACTCCCACCCGATTGAGACAAGACAGGTTTCTAAGCCTCTTGTGGCGGCTTAAACTTTCCAGCAACGCAGCCAGTCCTAAGCCTTAACATAAGCCTTAAAGAGATACTACAACAAAATTTCGGGGCTTATTTTTTTTTTTTTTTTTTTGCTCTACGTGTCTGCAAATGAGCAGTATCCTATCGGACACACCAATATCTTGTTAAAAAAGACACAAAAAGGAATTTTAAAACGAATTAAGCTTTTAGCAAAGAGCACCTGGTGGACGTCACTAACACCTCGTTTGTGATGCCCGTCTAGGAGCCTTCACAGGTAGTGACGGTAACTGTCTCGCCTCCGGCCACTACGAGAGAAGAGGGGAAGGAGGAACTCTCCTCTCCCCGATAATCTCTTTCGTGTGTGCGGGTGCTGCTTCCGACTTTGCCGACATTCCGGTGTAATTATCATCTAGTCCCGATGCGACTGTCAGTCGAAGTGCGATCGAGCCAGAAGGTTCCCGAAAATTCTTTTGTTGGTGCACTTTCCTCTTTTCTGTAGGCTATAGAATCCGAACAAAATCACCCAACCAAACGAACCAGGCTTGGCTTACCGACGACCACGAAATCAACAGTATAATACCACCCGCCGAAACGTAAAATCAATATATATGTATATATATATATGTGTGTGTAATCTAATAAATGATGCACGAACGGCGCCAACGCTTCGAGCTATACTACACGCATTGGTCTGAAGGCTGGAAACAATTTTGACATTTCTGCATTGTACATAAAACTTTTCTTCCGAGTAGAGCATGTTAAAAGTTCCTTGGACCGAGGCACTCAGTTACTGAGGTGTCCGTACACAGAAATATTCACACAACAAAATTTCCGTGCACCGAAAAAACTGCACCCAAACACCCTACAACAAAAGACCCTAAATGTAAAATAATGGCGGACATCTTCACCCACAACGGGCTGCACGTTCAGTCTTGGGTCCTGGTTCTTCAGAATCCTACACGTAAGGGCTATTCCGACTGGCCATCTTCGCTGGAGACACCAAGCTACTACTGTGAAGAATTCCGCGTTAATTAAGGAGACAGAAAAACTTTTCGATGTGATGAAGGCGTACGCAAGAGTGAATTCACCTGGAACTGTTAATACCTTCCCCCTCTACTGACCTCTAACATCTGGTTAGTTCAATTATTATAGGAGCCCTCTGCTAGTATTTTAGAGGTCTCAGTATTGATTCCCGGACCAGGCAGATTTTTTTTCAGCGGCCCACCAATCGCTTTGTTGCCGAAAGTTGCACTCCATCTCGGGTGGAAATCAATTCATTCTTGTATATTTCAAAAATTCATCAAAAACTTCACACAGAAAAGCCGTCCGTCCCCTTAAAGTGCCTCCGCTGTGAAGAGTTGCGCCGCTGTGCGTGGCAGCAAAGCTGCAGTCTCGAACAATGTGAAGGACCCATTGGACAAGGCAATTTTAGGCGGCCGTCGCGGATTTGCTTCTTGGTCAAACCCACATAGCTTGGGGTGATAAAATTAATTATTCTCTGCTATATTTTCTTTCTAAAACTAAAGTGCCACTGGAAAAAGTGTGAACTCCTCTTCATAAGCTGTATCGGCGATTAGTTCTTTTTATATTGTTGGAAACTGTACCTGCTTGATATATATAGCACGAAATAAAAAAATGAAAGACGTTCACAATGCCTTTGCACACTGAATTAGAGCGCAGCTCTTGAGGAGGAGGAGGGGAAAAAGGAGGATAAGAGGAGGGAATGCCCCTCCTCCTCATTTCAACCTCCCCTCATCTTCTCCTGCTCGCCTACCATTTAGCGGAAAGTTTTTCGCTAAATTTCCCGCTAAATTTAGCAAAAAAACTTCCCCGCCAAATTTAGCAGACATTTTCCCCGCTAAATGTGGCGGAAAACGTTCCCCGCTAAATTTAGCGAAAATTTTTTTTCCGCTAAATTTAGCGGGGAATTTTTTTCCGCTACATTTAGCGGGGAAATGTTCCCGCTGAATTTAGAGGGGAATTTTTCCCGCTAAATTTAGCGGGGAAATTTTTGCTCTACATTTAGCGGGAAAATTTTTCCGCTAAATTATTTATTTCTGCTAAATTTAGCGGAGGAAGTTTTCCACTAAATTTAGCGGGGAAATTTTTTGCTAAATTTAGCAGGGAATTTCGTTCCGCTAAATTTAGCGGGGAAATCTTTTCGATAAATTTAGCGGGGAAATTTTACTTATAATGCAACGCGCGGAGACGTCACAAGTGACGTAACTCATGATCCTCGTGACGTCACGTGCGACGTCATCATGGGAAACGTCCCATAATGTACCGCGCGGTTACGCCGACGGCGACGCCGACACCGCTCAAGCCAGAAACGGGCGCCTAAGAGCTGCGCTCTAAAAAGGGTTGGAATGTTTCTTATCCCCTTGAGGCAAGAGTGACGGCGCAATACAATCACCCAAATGTGTGGGTAGACACGACTTTGACTCCGTCCCACAACGCCTACATGCATGACGGGACGATGTCGATTTACGTCCCTTTCAAAGGTCGCTTACCATGCGACCGATTGCGAAGACGAAACTAATCAAAGGCGACACGTTTAAAGGATGAATGAAGGCTATTTTCAAGATATAATATTAAAAGCCGGCCCACATCTATATGCCCGATTCGGGTCATAGATCAAATACCGCAAAGAAACAAACATTCGGGTCAAAATTAGTAGTTAGGGTACATCAATGGTCACCTTGGATACACGGAAAGTTTACAATATGCATTCCTTGTTACGGCTGTTTCTTCAGTCCTTGAAATACAATCACCGTTTCGTATCCCAAACGAGAGCTCTCACGGCCAGTTCAGCTACTCTCGCTCTCGTCCCCGGCCCTTTGACCTTCCACCCTCCGTATACGTACGAAATCGTCGCCGACGATGGCGGGATTTAGTTGATTGCTGAAAACATTATAGCTTTCCAGACGGCTGAATAAGGTACCGGAATCTTCTTTGGCCAGCGAATTACCAATTCACTTTTAATAATAAAAAAATACAACTTAAACGTACAAAAGCAGTACAATTATCAAAATATCAGGAGAAAGTGCAAGGTTGGGTTTTCTTTTTCATTTCTTAACCTTTTTTCACTGGATACATCGGCTGACATAGAACCTGCTTCCTTACTTAGTTAGACTGGATATTTTTGTTTCGTTCTCCTTTATTCCCATTTAATGATTCCTTTCACAATTGAACGAGTGGCCTTCATTCTGATGAGACTCGCCTGCTTCATACGGTAGCTTTCAAGGTCAAGAAAGAAAGTTGCATCAAACCGTGCCACCGTGCCAACTGGCTTGTTTTGAAGGGCCGTTGACACTTTCCTCTGTAAAATAAGTTGTATGCGCATATGTATGCAAGACTTGCACATGACGTTATCGTCGTATGCTTGTAGTTATCTTGGTTACATTTCTACTTGTTTTTTGCCGGAAAAATTATTTCGATGGTGCGAAATGTATACCGCAGAAGGAACATCTTCGGCTGCAAGGACACTAACATGGCCGCTGATGTGACGTCAATTCAAGTCACGTATACTCTCATGCATTCATGTTTGTCTTGATGCTTCCCGTTCATACGCTCAAGACCTCGCTATGGAGGAGATAGACCAAGATTCACTCTACATGAAAAGTACCAGAAAGCATTTCTGTGGCATTTGTTTTTTTTTTCTTGGGGCTGGCT